AAAATACATGAGCAGAGACACACACACACTGCATGAGTTGGAAAATAATAGGGCGCGCGTGTACGATAAGAAACTTGAATTGGAATATCATCGAAAAAAATACAAACACGAACGAAATAAAATAATGGAGCCGTGTATCAAATCGGTTAATGGCATAAAACCCTTTAAACCGAGTGGAACAATTAGATAGTTTTATATAGGTTTATATTTTTGTTTAAAATTAATAGCGTCATTAGAGGTGAAACGGTCTTACGGTTAGGTGATTACAGGACCCAATGTATATACGTATATAATAATATACGAACTACGGGCGAGAAACGATATTTTGGATTGAAACGGTTATCCGTGGCGGAGGGGGGAGGGGGAAGTCGGCCGTACGCTATAAAATAGTTCGATTTGGCAACCCCGCGCGTTTCGTATACGGTCTCGTACGAACAGAGAAAAAAATTGTAATTGCCGGTCCCTGCGGGGGTAATTTATCGTTATTGGCACGGACGTTTTAACGACTGACATTTTTAGAAACGAGAAAAAAGAAAAAAAAAGATAATCGCCGTAATCGACGCTTTTGTTCTCGGCCGTTTTCTTTGCCTCGGCCTGCAACCATAGAGCCCACTCTCGCAGGGAAACTCACACACACACACACACACTCTCTCTCTCTCTCTCTGTATATAAATACATATAATATATATATATGTATATATCTACCTACATATATTATGTTCGTGGTGTGCGTGTGCATAATACTTTTCACGTGCGGATAATACATATTTTTTTTTTCGATATTCTTTTCGGCTCTCTCCGCTGTCGTCTCCCTCACTTGTGCTCTTTATGAGCGCGTTCGAGTGGTCGTTGCACACAAAACACTACGAGTGCCTGCACAAGGTCTTTTGAGCATTATTTCCGAGCGCATAATGCGCTCTGTGGACCGTGGGGATATATTATAGCCGTGACGAGGGAAACGGGTGCGGGAGGGGCCTTTGCCGGTCGCGCGGAGAACATGATGTATATACGCGTCGCGCCAGGTAATTTAAAAAAAAAAAATTATTTATCGGTTCGGAAAATGCATTTGGGGTGCGTGCGATACTACCCGGGCACACGATGACGTTATATTATTATTATTATTAATATGCGTGTGTGCGGGTCATACGCGCTCACCATTATATCGGGCTTGTGTATCTCAGACGCGTTTTCGTTATTATTATATATTATATTATATTATCGCCGAACAATCTATAATAAAAATAATAATAATACAACGTCGGTGTACATCCTACAACATGATATGCACACGAGGTGTGTACGCGTACAGGTATTATAATAGTATTGAATACCGAACACGACATGGGAGCCAGCGTGTGTGTGATGCGCACTGAACAGCACATTATTCGAAACAGTAATAATAAGTAATAATAAGCAATAACCCTAAGAAATTATTATTCCGAGATATCCGAGGAAAACGTAATAATATAACCGGTTGACCGTTTTCTAATCTCAACACATAAATCTAACGCCGCGGAGCGTGTAATTTATTTCGGTATATTGTATACGTAAAATCTGTGCTCAACCTATACATGATAATATTATTATTTATGTAGCCGCGTAGTGTACCAGAGCTGCAACCGTTGCATTTTTTATGTTCTTTGTGCGAGTTTTTATTTACAGCCGGTATACATTATAATAATAATATTGTTATGCGCGCAGGGACAGCGAGAGGAGGCACAAGTCCGCTCAAGTACTACTACTCGCCGTAATAATTTACGTTGCGGCACGTGTACAAGCAATAATAATATTATTATTATTATTATTGGCATGTTCCGTATATTAGGAAAACCTTATTGGCTTTTCGTTTCCGTTCGCGACGAGTATGGCAGAGTTAAGCTGCACTGCCTACTTTCGTGATGCCTGCTTGAGGCGGATTGTTCGGGGTTACACGACTCGTAAGCCTGACTTCGACGACGATGACGTTGCTAACCAAGAAAAATAATAGATATTTTATATATTTTTTACTTTTTCAGTACGATTTTCCCTCAGCGAATACATAATAAAACATGGGCGTATAATTTTCCCGCAGAGTATGTATATATAACATGTAAAATAATATATAGTGCGATACGTGCAGCATTGAATACCTATACAGAAGTTTTGAAAATTTTGTGACCAAGTCACCGCGTGGTTTAGACGCCGATAACCATAAACTACTACCGTTGACTCGGTAATTGTTATATATATGCAGACGAGACCGCCACCGAGAAAGCGGTGGGAGTTTCAGAGCGGAAAACGGCCGGCAGCCAAAGATATAAAGCTCGTTTTTATGACTATATATAAATAAGACATATTATATTATAATAATGACTCGGCGGGAGCCGTTATATTCTTTTATAAATAATAATAATAGTAGCCAGGCGGAATGGCAGTTCTGAAGATTGTCGTCCTATACAAATAATTATTATAATATTAATAATAACATCATAATGTGTGTGCTACTATAATCGTTACGAATTACGATTTATAATATTGTATTATTTAAATCACAATACTCTTGCGATGAACTACTAAAGTCTTTACTAATGTATAGATACGATTTTAACAATAAATTCCATAATATGTACCTATGTATACAGATACGCAAGGTGTTATAGAAGTGATATGATCTCTATAAAATTGACGGAGAGTCAGTAGGTTGAATATTTAAGTATGACAAGTTGTTTTGTACTAAATGAAAAACAAATTCACCGTATATGCGTCTATGTACAATAATTATAGTGAATATTATCAAGCTCTATGATGGACGTATAAAATATGGAACATACTATTGTCAAATTTATTATTGTTTTGCTTATCATAATATTTTATACTGCAGTCCGTGTCACAATGTTCTACGATTATTCAGTTGTTTGTTGGACGTGGCCGGCTCGCAGAAATACTATTATTTAATTTCGTATAATTCGTTTTCGATTCAGAAATATTTGAAATTGAAGTAATCAAAATAATTGAAGGACCGAATTGAGGTTACGTAGCTGGCAGTAGAAATTACATTAATATGATCGTTCGAGCAATAAAATAAATATAATTTAATGCTCCATTACCTACGGTTTATACAATCGCATTGGTTTCCGAAAAACAGACCGAAACGACTTGGGTACACACATCGTTGTAAAATTATGCGAAAATATAATAATACATAGGTAGGTAAGTATTATATTCTTCGGCGAAGTGAACACCGCATACGTTTCCGCGTACCTATCGCAATAACCCAATAACCGTGTGAATATTACACGGCGATGGATACTTGAGTATGGCGTGTTGTTACATCACCATTGCATATTTTATTAAATTATTTTAAATTATATATCCGCGGTGCTTTGGGCCTGCAGATTTACGATTTTTGGGACCAGGCGTAGTTGTATAATATATAATCAAAGAGGTACCCTATCTGGAATAAAATATGAAAGCAACACACCGAAAAATGATAAATACCTAGCTCGATCCTAGATAATATGACACCATATTCGACCTCAACATGCGTGATCTCTCGTAAATTATTTTTCGGTACGAAAAACGACCCCGAAGGTCGACGTCAGAAAGACGGTTGTGCTTATTCTCGGTATATTTTATATTTATAGAAAGGGTTTTTCAGCATTTGTGCAGCACGAATATTTCTCGAACACCGAGCCGTTGGTATAGAACAGAACCGCGATTCATTCCTCAGAAGTAAATAGTAATAGAAGTGCAAGCGAAAATATCTACAGTCCTGGGTCCTAAATTCATACGTCATGGTTCAAGACGTTCAAGTGGTCCGCGGAGCGCGTGAGTGTCGTTTCACGCATCGATTGGACGCAACTACATTTAAAAACCGACGCAGTAAAAAGTTTCGAAAAATTAGACGGTTGTAAGCTTTACAACTTTACAAGTAATACTGGAAGAGTATATGTATGTTTATACATTTTTCCGTCGCAGACCTTGTTAGGAGCGTATACATGTATGTTCATTTTGTCGCACTATATATAGCTACGTTTTTATTAGGCTTTCCCCGCGTCCCAGCATACACCATGTTTACGCGGCTATACATGTATATGCAAACATAAAAGAAAAAAATTGTATTAAAGCGTTTTATCGGTGTACCGCTCCTCTCGCCCTCACGCATGGCACATCCCCACGCCCTCATTTATAAACGTACGAAAACGCTTTATGACGGGAATAAATAAGAAAATAGAAAACGCGCGCAACAAAATAAAATAAAAATAAAAACATGGAAAAACCTAAACCGGGGGTGGTGGTTCTCCGAAACAGTTTTATTATCGTTCCCAGCAAGCACATTATGTCGTTATTATTATTATTATTATTATTGTATAACTTTTGCGCTGCACAGAAATCTGACGAATATAATATTATTATTAATGTTATCATCACTGCTCGACGCCGCCGACATCCGACCGTCGGCCGTCCTCGGTATTACGCGCTCGAATGTGCGTGTGTTGAATACAGCAGCTTTGTCCCTCACACACGGTGCGGCGGCCTATAAATTCCGAAGCATCATCTCGTCCCGCACTATTGTTGTATTATGTGCGTACTAATATAAACCGCCCGCCGGCTTGGCAACCATGGTATTATTATACTACCGCGGTAGTGGTATATACATATATACAACGGCTGTATAACCATGGCCGTGGCGGGGGTGGGGGCCGTGCACAATAATACGCGTCGTCGATTATACTGCAGCAATAATTATAATTTATATTATTTATATTGCATAATATACATTATACATAATAATATTAAAGTCTGTTGTCAAACACTTTATTATAATTTAGGTAGTATAATGAAAATGTATGTATTATGCATACGTACGTATAATTGAATTGTCGGCACGAAAGTTTGTGTTGGGTTTGGAAATACGAATTTTACCTATAACGCACACATAATAATCGTCTGACTTATAAATGCAAAAAAAAAACAATTTTTTGTACCTATTCACGCATTGCTTTTTACTACATTTTTTTTTTTAGTATTGCATTTTGTCTGGACCCAGTGCAGCTGCGGCTATGTACAATACGTCATACACGAATAAGTTGATCGTGAGATACATCGAATGGTGTTCTGAAAGAGAATCGAGTACTGGAACGAGATGAGATAATAATAATAATAATATAGTTACGAATGACAACAATAATTGTTGGGGAGGGAGTGGCGGCCATAGTGACCTCCACACAGTCCACACTTCAACACCGCTGCAGCATATGACATAGGTACTATTATTCTTCGAGTAACACGTTGAATAATATACACAATACACATAATATTATATTATTATACATAGGTATATCGGAAATGGATAATCGAGGAAGAAAAGATGATGCCTGACTCCGATGTGGTAAACGTGTCGGCACGCGTTAATACGTTTCCGAATCCCTGACGATGACGGCGATGAAAAGCCATCATGTACCGCCCGTCAGGTATACGTTCCGAGGTATAGGTTATACTGGTTATAGGTATATACAACACTCATATACGTGCTCCAGGGTATGTACCTATCGGTCTTCTTTCGGTGTTCGTTATTATTATTTGCATCATCATCATCATTGGAGTATTGGACACTTGGATGTCTATACGACGCAGCGATGTAATATTTTGGTGTGTAATGGCTCGAAGGATTTCTCTCTCTCTCTCTCTCTCTCTGGGCCTTTCTGCTTTTTGTCCGCTTCACGTATGTTTTTGTTTACGAACGATAACCAACCGAAACGCGCACGGGCTCGGGCACGTCTTAGATACAATAATAATAATAACATTGTATCATTATAATATAATATGTTTTGATGGGCCGCTGTGGCTAGAGAGTTTAAAATCGTTTTTCGATAGTCGCGCGTTGCGCGTTTTTCCTCGCGCCACAGAATCGTTCGTAATCGCAGTCATCCCGAGCTTACCACTGCACTACTCCAGTCTTGAACGTGCCCCGTAGGGGGGGGGGGGGGTACAATACTCGGTGGCAAATACAGTGCAACACGTAATCACACTGCGATAGTAGAGAATAGTTTAAGTCACCGAATTCACACCTATAACCAGCACAGTGACACGGCGGTGATATATTTCCGCTTCGAGTCCACTGTGCTTTTTTACACTATTATACTGTATGTACCTACCCACCTGTTTGTGCTCCCGATAAGGCATTATTTACGAGCGTGAGAAAATCGCTTACGAATCCTACACGCCCTTCGGTTCCGCGAAAATCGTCGAATCGGAAACGTGTCCGGGGCCGCATAATAATATATATACGCTCGTCTATTATCAATATCGTATCGTACAATATATTTTATTTTGTTATTCGATCTGTTTTTTTCTCCAAGCATTACTCTATACGGCGGCTATTATCCGACGATCTTTGAACATGCTCGATTCTTTTCCCCGTTTTTATATCGGACACAGACCTAATGATATGTGACGACGGTCTGCGACAACGAACACCAACCACTATACCTATGCGCTATATATGTGTTATATACCATGTGGTGCAGCATGTGGACAAGTCGTCGTCGGTGTGTTCGTTTTACCGAATTTTTCTTTCGGTTTTATCGTATTTGTGGAATCTTAACGTCCGCCGCCGCCGGTCAGCGACCGCCCTGTAGCAACCTATATCGTCGTTATACGTTTTTATCTTATTTGTATACAGTTTACACACACGCACACACACGGTGCGCAATAATAGTATTGTTCTATATTATAACGATGGTTTGAAATATGTTTTTGTGATTTTTTTTTTTTCATTTTTTTTCCTCCGGTCCGTCCGTCTGCAGTATATATACGAGACGAAAACCTCGACCGGAATACTAATACATTGCGTGCGATTTAATATCCCAGCATTTTTCATCATTACATTGTACATAATATGGCATATATATATATATATGTTGGACAGTATTATATGTTATATTGTTCTCGTTCGAACCTTAGCCATTACACGATAATAATAATAACATAATAAAGAAACTTATATGTATAGGTATATATACAATATAAATAACTACCCCACGGCGCGCGGTCATCACAGTCTCCGACCTCGTCTGCTGAAGACTAAAGTACACGCATTATGCGATGTGTGTGTGTGTGTGTCCGTTGTATACATATGTTTGAGTGAATATCACGTAATATGTTATGCGCGCGTTCGGAGAGGCGGTCAGGTTAAGTTATGTACGATGGGTACCACACATATTATACCACACGGTGCTCGGGCCTCGGCGTGGCCTTAAATGAGGTCCGTCCGTGGACATTTGTAAAACGGAACCTTTCCGGGATGTTTTATTGTGCGTGCACGTAAGTCGCTGAGATTTATTATAGCGTACGGCCAGGGCAACTGGTTAAAAAAAAAAATACATAACGATAATAAATAAAATAAAAACCTTTTAACCCTCTCTCGCCCTGCACACGTCGTCCCACGCCTGCACCTCCGCCGCCACCGCCGCCACTGCTGCTGCTGCTGCTCTAACAGTCTAACCCCTTCGCCGCACACTTATTTTCAGTTCGCAGCCTCCTATCACCCCTCCCACCCTCGGGGGCCGACTGCAAAGACCATTCCGGTCCATTTTACACGCACGTCCATTTGTCTACGCCTTTCGTTTCCACACATACTCACACCGCGCACCGTTACACCCCGATAAATCGATTAAATTTCCTTTCTCTCCGCGGCCGCACACACTATAGCTCGTACCTATATATATATATAAACACGAACGCTCCTCGAGTACACATATATCACGCATTACATACACATGCACACACACACACACACACACATATAACATAAGTGTATGTGTATACTTTTTCTTCTTCTTCTCGCCGACGGTATAAATTATATAATGCTGCGTACGGCGTGTATAGCTACTGCTGCTGCTGCTGCTGCTGCTGCTGCTGCAAAGGGCGGAAATGCATTAATATAAAACGTTGGTATGGCGAAAAACTCTCCATCAATCTAAATACACACACACACACACACACGCGCGCGCGCGAGTGTGCAGCGAGTGTTTAGGGGAGCCGACTTAAATTACACGTCCGTTTCGGCATCATCAACACAGCTGGTTTACATATACACATATAAGTATATATATGTAAGACGTATATATATATATATACTAGTGGAGAGGCGGCAGGTTAACATATATATAACTACTGTATATTGTATACAGTTTTGTATTATAAACACGTTTATTTTTTTTGCCCGTCGTGTCTGTCTATATCTCCGCTGCGGTGTTATAGCCGTCTTTCTCCGAAATTATACACTCGCCGAGCCCGAAAACGACATCGAAAAGCCGTTCAAATGCCATATACATATTACATATACATACACGCATATACATGCAAGCACACGACGAGCGGATTCAGACGACGGCGGCATGACAATCGTTTTTACACAGCCACCGCGTCGTTATGGCGGTCGGTCGGACAGTGCTTACGGCCATCTGTTGTCGCCACACGCGTATAATATTTCTTCTACTTCGCTTCGGCTTTTAAGTTTACCTCTCCGCCGCCGCCGCCGCCGCCGCCGCCGCACTCGATTTCGTGCCGCTCACTCCGCGTCATCATAAATACGCGCTCGCACGATCAAATTATAACGATTCACGTACGACTGCGCACGCATATAATAATAATAATAATAATAATATATTACTCGTGATAATATGCGATATTACACGATGAATTACGACGATATCGTCGCGTGCACGAAACGCGTCAAAGAGATGTATAATATCATTATTTCGTATTTTTTATGTGTACACATCAGACCGTTGTCGTCTCCAAAGTCGATGGATTCTCTCCTATCGCGGGGAGGCAGAGGGTGTATGTGAAGAAATTATGATTATTATTTTTTCCGGTCGACGGGAGAATTGGCAAACCACGCCGCCGCGCGTATACGTCCTGCAATAACGGGGCTCGCGACAAAAGGTTCAGTCGCGGCGAATCGGCGCGATATAATATCCTTACGAAATAATGTATAATATAATAATATATAATGTGTATGAATGCGCATGAATGCTAACGACTTGAACACTGCACATATAAGATTTTTGTGTAAATCATAATACACTCGTATAGTCGGTCCTAAAAACTCGGCAACAGATACAATATAATAATTATTATATTATATTAGGTAGGTATATACTATACATAATAACTTCGTCACGTGTTTGAGAATTATAAATTTATAACTTCATAATAACGTTATAATGTTAGTGCTCGTAAAGTTTATTTTTGTAACGTTTTCAACGATAATAATTCGCATTTCACACCTGCATATTGCATATGTATAATATACATTATTCATGTGTGTGTGTGTGTGTGTGTGTGTGTGTGTGATTTATCACAATGCACGCGATTTATTGCGATTAACTTATATACAGTCGTCGCCGACGAAAAATAAAAACGAATTTCAAAACTCGTCGGTCTCGGTGTCCCGCGCGCGCGTTCGTTCGATTCATTATATTATTTTATTGCTTACGGCGGCGTATACCTAAATAGTAAATACACATTATTGGTCGTATTATGTACTTTGTTATTTATTGTACACGCATGCGCGTTATTTATACGGCTTTATAATATTATAACATTATAAGATAGATTTTTTTTTTGAATTAAACATACATACATGCATACATACTAGGTATACGCACCTCATTCCCCGTTCCAGCGGATTTATAGTTGTTTTTAATTAAAAATCCGAAGTCGCTTATCATTTAATCTCTATTATTTCGTTCCATTAGGAATTCTAAAACTGATAGGTACCTACCCATACAATATAACGTACATATATACGTCCCTGTCTAATATATTATTATTCGTGGACGTTGATAAAAACTGCTGTATATTATTATACTATAAACCCATAATATATGATGGTAAAGCGTGTTGGACACCGGACCGGGTGAATGTCCTATTATTATACATTTAAAATGTCAAAAGCACTATTGTTGTATGCACTTACAGTCTTATAATGTACATTCAGGGCATACAATTCCGAGGTTCATATATCAATCAGTGTTTATTGTCGGGGCGTCTGTGCTTGATGTGAAAAAAAAAATTTAACCCAATATGTGTCGATCATTTCACGGAGCGATAGAGAGCACATGTTGTTTATGTACAGTTTTTCGGGTCCGAGCAGACCCTAAAACGCTTTTGAACACACTGACACAAAACATTTCCTTTTTTTGTTGTTGTTATACTTTTCTTTCCCTTTGATTATCCCATTACCTTTGTGCGGTATTTTTTTGTGTGCTTTTCCGTTCTATTTTTTTTTTGTAGCTGTCTCTTTGCGCGCAGACAATACAAATCATAAAGTAAAAATGTATAACCGATAGAATGCAGGAATAAAGAAAAAGGGTGAACACAAAACGACAACAAGAAAAAAACCCGTTGTATGTATATGTGCACGAAAAACTTTCTTCTTACCTAGCGATTTAACATACATTTG